ATATATATATATATATATATATATATATATATATATATATATATATATATGCGTTGCGATCCACTTGGCACGCCTCTTTGTGTTGTTTGATTAATACATGCACTACTGTTAAAATATTCAATGGAGAAATCTAATATTGAGGCTGGTTGGAGAGACGTAATTATTTGCGTCATGTGTAAGGCGCCAGTATATAACGTGTGCAGGGTGTGATGTTTGTTATGAGCAGACTCTGTTACGGTTGTCAGAGTCATTATCTGTCGTTATCTCCCTCATTATCACCTTGTATAATCACATGTAGAGCTCAGGTGTGAAATGAACTTTTGCCAACTGCGTGAGATGATTTACTTTGGCTTAAGAGCTAGAGAGAATATTGTTTGTTTTTTTATTTTCAATTTTTTTCCTGTTTTTCTCAGTTATATGTTAATTGTTGCATACTTTTAAGTTTGTTTAAACTAGAGCATGCAAAAATGACCTCAAGGCCAGTATTTTATTAGGACTGGATAACACGTAGTTAACAGCTTTGGTGGCGTGTCCATTCTGTACACTGCCTGAAGGCAGAGGTTTTTAAACCATCCTCCACTGAAGTATTATGATATATTAAGTGGGGTAAAACATGTGCTTTCACAGGCCTGATAAGTCGAAAGGGCAATTAAGTGCAAAAATGATAAGTGCCATTGGCTGCGTGGAAAGACGACCTTTGCAGTACAATTAGAATATTCAGAATATATAGTCCTTCACGAATACTCTTGAGGAAAACTAAGCTACTAGTACTTGAATTCTTCTTCCTTGTCCCAAGAAAGACTACTAGTGATTTTGTCACATAAGACTGTAATACATACATAGCTATGTCATAACACTGCAGATTATAATAAACACCAACAAGGGCATGACACTATCCAGCACTGGCTGGCTGCTAAGGTTTCAGTTGTAATCACTGTGACATGCAGCAAGGAAGCAGAGGTCCCCTGGTAGGAGTGAATGTGTGCAGCATTCCAGGCTGCCCTGGGAAGGTACCAGTCAGCTCTGCATACACAATAGGGGCTGGCTGAAGAAGAGATGGAATCACACTTTAAAAAGGGGGCCCTTGGAGACAAACTGCTGGAGGGAGGGGGGGGCATGGGTCATTAATCATCCATATCCAGGTGTGTTGTGACTCTCACTCAGTGCCCCGAGCATGTATACTCTGTGATGGGTATTAGATAGCCATCTTATCACAGGTGATGCTGTGACTCGGTGCCCCGTGACATGGATAATGAGATAAGTCTAGGGAGCTCATCTACATACCTGGAGGGGGGAAATTAATTTCACAGTTGTGCACAAAACACTACCTTCACCTACAGTTAGTGACAGAAGTCATTTAACACTTGGCCATAAGGACAACACATGGTTATTTCTCAGTGGGCTTTTACCCCTTTAACTAGACTGTCACTGCACTTGAATCTTGGTCAGGGAGCTCAGTTACAACACACAGGTAGGAGTATCCTGTTTGTGTGTTTATGCCCAGTGATATTTGGCAAATATTTATGCCACATTGGAAGACAGGCAGCAGAAAATTTGTAGTCACTGAACGTCTTGGACATTAAATACCTTGGGCACTGCATTGGTCACTGGATACCTGAATAGGACAAGTTAACAGTGGGGACTGACCACTTGTGAGGGGCGCCCCGAGTCACCATGCTGTCCACGGAGAATTTATTTCATCATTCTCTTCTTTTGAGGAGTTTGGAAGAACGACATGGTAGAATACCACATATCCCTCCACCCATTTATACAGGGAGTTCGCTAAATGACAATTGTATTATGGACCCTTTGAAAGGTATGTTGTTATTGAGAAAGGAGGTGAGGTAAAGAGATTAGGTGTAGGATAGGTTTAATCTGGAATGGATTGTGACCAGATGTGGGTGTGGGTGGACATAGAACAGACACACACACACACACACATACACACATACACACACACACACACACAGAGAGAGCTGATGTTTTGTGTTTATCTCTTCAAAACTCATTATGCATACTTTTGAGTCCACTAATGTCTTTAGGGAGGCTATAACATGCAAACAAATATTTGGATATGATGTAACAAACTTAGGTATGCGACTGTGTACTTAAAACCTTCAAATGCCTTTGAAGATTCCTTTAACTTTGCCATTGTGGTTGATGCAGGTGTGTTGTGAGGGACTGGGGGAGGGGAAGGGGGGGATAAGAAAATAAATGAGACCAGCACACAGACAAAAAACTTTGCCATATGGAAGGACACTTAGCGAATGTGACACATTGTATAAAAAGGCGCTGTCATTTGTAAACTTGGGCAGATCATAGATACGCGAATGTGAAAGTTGTGAAAACTTTTTAGAAACTTATTGGGTTCTACAGGCATGTTTTGCAGGCGATTCTTCTTGCATTTTTCACACCTAAATTGCATGTTGATGTGCATGCCCTGAAGCCTCATGATCCAAGCCCACATTGCTGATTTTATGGGGCATATCAAAATGGGAAACATTATATATTTAGAATACTAAAAAGCTATGAAGATTTCATTTCCTGAATGGGGGGGGGGGGGTTGTGTGGTTTACAAGGTTTTCATCGTAATGTAATTTTCCACATCTGAGATTAGTTTGTTTATCTTTTTTTTTCAAAGTTCAGTGTCCTCAAACAGGTACTATTAACTGTTTTTTAAGGTGATGTTGTTATGTGCATTATTTTAGCTCATGAAATAAAGAGGTTGATTAGGATCAGCAATTGATATGCATCAGAGCAGCAATAAGTGAAACAATGGAGTGAAAGCATGCTACCCATGGCATTATCCATGGCAGCCATCAAAGCTAACAATCTGGCATTTAAAAGCTCAGCCGAGTTTCATCAAGATTGTTTTGGTGATACATAACTTGAAAGCACCAGTGTCATGATAGACCAGAGTGGTGTGTAGATAGAATACGTCTCTGAAGACTCCTCGTTATATCTTGTCACGTACTGCTTGATAAGTCCTAAATCAGCTGATGAATAATTCGGACATTTTCAGACTGATAACTAATGAAAGTCATGAAGTACATAATTTGGGATTTTCAGGTACATTTGTGGTTCAGATAAGCCAGTCCTTTCATGGTGTGGAAAATGTAGGGGTTTTTGATACATATATAGATAGTCTGATGATAATGCTGGCCACAGAGTGAGTAATAAAAGATTCCGTGGGCATTAGGAGCCTTGATATTGATAAGCTGAGATGGATACCGTTGATGAATTGGTATTTTTAGTTACGGTGTTTCTTTGATAGCATACAGAGGTTATTGAGTGTTTTCATGCAATATTTATATGTCAGCTGTAATATATTGCACAGAGAAGATATTGTCTTGCCATGCTGTCAGATTTTAATGGTGGTTGTATTTTATTCTGAATCATTCCCCCCACTCCAAGATCATGATTGAAATGTATTCTTGGTTTCTGCAATTAGCCTACAGTTTGTCTTTATGTTTTTGGAAATATAATAAGTAAAATGATGAGTGTTCCAAAGAGCCATATTTAACTCATACACAAATGAAAACTCAATACTTTTTTCACGCCGCATTTCATATATGCCGTACCACAGACAGACTTTAGTGCAATGTGAATAATATTACCCAGTGTGGTGAAGGGGAAAAAAACTTGCACCCGGAAAACATGTGATTTATGCATCGCAACTTGAAATGAATAATTAAGGTCCCTTTGCGACTTCCTATTTATAGCCTTGATGTCAAACCCAGGTCTGACGGAGGCCACATATGTGTGACCTCAAGCCCAGGTCTTTCTCTGTGGGAATTGCGCCTGTTGGGAAGAAGTCTTAACTGAGTTAACCGTCGTCATCTATTGATTTTGTGACAAGTTCCGGCTTCTGTGCCTGTGTACTGAGCCAGACTGGTGGGGTTAAGTTGAAGGTCAGCTCTTATGGGTATTCTGGAGTGAACTCTGTTAATGTACGGAATTATGGTCCTGGGAGTTTGGCAGGGGACCTGGGGGTGGGGGGGTTGGGGGGGGGGGTAAATGAGTCTCTGAGGTGGGTTTGCTGTTCTTGTCAGTTGTAGGACAAGAATAAACCTGCCCACTCTTCTCCCACACACAAGAATTATAGTTCATCACTTATATGTTAGATATGACACAATAACTGCTCTGCATTTACCAGTCCTGGATTACGTGGAAACTTTAATCTCTAAGAGTAAGAAAATCTGACAGTTATCAATGCCATCTTTATTACGATGCCTTGTGTAACTGATACTTGTGGTAATATTATATATATATTATACATATGTGTGATACCTGGATTATAGTGAATCATGTAATTATGTTATTGTATTTCTCTCTATTCAGGTATGGATTCCAACATCACACTCTGGCAGTTTCTTCTGGAGTTATTATTAAGTGGCCAGCACAACGACATAATTCAGTGGACTGGGAATGAGGGAGAATTTAAACTGCTTAATGCTGAAGAAGTGGCCAAATTGTGGGGCCTCCGCAAAAACAAGCAGAACATGAATTACGACAAACTTAGCCGTGCTCTCCGATACTACTACGACAAGAACATCATCAAGAAGGTGATGGGACAGAAATTTGTGTATAAATTTGTATCGTTTCCCGAGACGATAAAAACAGAGAACAAAATTCCTTTCAAAGTGAAGATGGAGAGCTTGGCAACAGAAGGATTTCGATCCCTTCCAGGTTTCATGACATTCCGTCCATACGATATTAAACAGAATCTTACAAAGCAACAGCCACAGATCCCAACGCCTGTGTCACAATGGCAGACATCGCCCTCACCGATCGTGTCGCAACCAGCTACGTACATGCACGTGCCAACGCCAGTGCGCAACTTCAGCACGGCCAACAATGAGATTAAGTTCACTGAAGTGAAGTTCACTCCTAACATGGAGATGAAGTATCTTCCACAGCAGCCGCAGTACAGGAGCAGCCCTCAGCCCGTGGCCCAGCCACAGCGTTCCTTGAACACAACTCCACAGCCTGCACAACAGATGGCGCCTCCATCCAACACTCCATCGCCAAAGCCACCATCTGCTGCGCCTTCACCAGCACGTGCTGTTCCGTCACCAGCACGTAATTCGCCATCTCCTGCGCGGATGCCAGTGCAGTCCATAGCAGCCTCTCAGCCTGTGGCGCCCTCTCCTCTACTGTCATCACAGCCGCAGTGTGCTAAAACGAGTCAGAGCAATGCCTCAACATCAGTTAATCGCCCCAAGCCACAGCCAATTGAAATCCCCAAAACAAGCATTCCCAGCTTCCCAATGTACAGCCCACGCCACCCTCTGCAGAGTTTAACAACTCCACTCCTATTGGCTAGTCCTCTACAGAGAACTCCATATGGGCCAATCACATTCTGGAGCTCATTGAGTCCAGTGACATCAACACTGAGCCCCAGATTTAATTCTCCGACTCAGTTCAACTTCCCTGGATTTGTCAACGGACATGTGGCGCTGTCTCCAGTAGTGACTGGCCAGCCATTTACATCAGCATTTGAAAACTTGGGATCACCATTGTTTGTGTCGTCTCCAATGCCTGTCAGTTGACGCCAGGCTTCGCATTCAAACTTGCACTCTACTGCTAGCTTGAATGCCCTTGGACTTGACTATGGTAGTCAAAGACTTGAGACTCCCAACCAAATTTTTGTGAATTCCTCTCATCAGGGTGCTGAGAGTCACCAATTTAGACGACAGAGCTACAGTCGGTAGCAGTAACACAACAGTTGTTATGCACTTTGTTGAAACCAAATATGTATAGGACATGTTAACTGCAGTAATGTTTTTCTTTTAAGTCTTGGTGTTTTTTGTATTGTTAGATGAGCAAGTTTCATGTGCTAAATGTCAAAACTTATCCTTTAACTAATTTGGAAACTTGTATTGTTTCTCTCATTGTACAAGAGACCTGACGCTTTTAAACTCAACACTTGTATGGATGCCTTTTAGTGCTTCATTTTGCTTTTTTTTTTGTATGTTTGGAAGATTACAGAGCTTAGCTTCTTAAGTGGTCCAGGGGTGAATTTTGCTTTTGGACATTTGCCTGCAATTCTTTGATGGTAGTTTGGGTAATAAAAGTCAGTTTTATAGAAAGTTAAACTCTTTTGTTTTTTAAGGAAACATTCTTCATTTTAAAAACATGCTGAGAACTGCTTGCTTCCAGCTGTTGAATTTGACTGCATTTTTGCATATTTTAAATTTTTTTGAAATTGTATTTCTGACAATAATGAGAGGTCTTAAGATCTTTTATTGCTTGGCTGTACCCCTCATTGCATTTTGACAATTAGTATGCAATTTATATAGCATTTATTTCTCAAAAGGGACCTGATAAGGCATAGATTAGACCAGTCCAGTGTTTCAGACTGGAGGCAAAGATAGCATATTTTGGTCACCACAAGAAATGATAATTTCCATTTGATTGTTGTACTTAAAAGCATTTGTATTCAGATAAATGCAAATGGTCATTATTTGATAGTTTTGTATGATCATTGTACATATATGTAGACTAAGGGGAAATATCAGATTTCTATTTTTGTACTAAAATGGCCAGTTGTGTAATTAAATGGCTTTTTAGCTTAGATTAAGGATATTTCAAATATGATTCAATGGTGCTGAGAACTGTATCTACTAGATGAGCGAGACAGATCAACAAGAAACATGTAAATACCAGTAAGCTCTGTACTGTGGATCTCACAGCAGGTCACAAGACACTGATGCTCTTTTTAAATTTTTGACCATTGTCCTTAAAAAAACATCACATAATTGTGAGCTTTTTGGCAAAATTCCAGAATTTTATTTCACTCAATTCATGTTAATTATCAATTTTAAAGTAATTTGTTTATTCATGGTTTATTTTGTGTACTCCAGTCATGTTGTTTAGTTATATAGACCTTGCTATGGCAAGGGTCGGATGTACTGTTATCTTCCGTATTGTGAAGATTGTACATATGTACATGTATATTTATTTATTAAGACCAAATTTGTGAAATATATTTCATCATTTTTTTACCAAATAAAAAATATATATACATATATATAAAAGCGACCTCATATCTTTTTTTCTCTTTTTGAAGCAAGTATCATAACATGGGTGCAAAGATTTAGCGATACAGAAATTATATTTGTTACATTCAAATAATTCGGGGAGAAAAAAGGGCTAATCTCCAGCATTTTCCAACATAAAAGGTACAAGTACCCTTGATCCTCTGAGAAGCCCTGGTGTGTCGTCATAACAAACCTAAGAAAATCACGTTTGGATACAGCTAAGTAAGGCAGGCTCGTAGCCAGCAAGTTCAAGGGGGGGGGCGTCTTTTTTCTGAAAAAGTGGACCTTTTACCATCAAAACTTTGCGTACCTTGATCAATTTTTACCCCGAGCGGACCTTTTCACGCCCCCTACCCCACCCACCCACCCCCGGCTACGGCCCTGTAATAGAACACCTTAGGCTAACATCAATATGGCATTCGGCACACGGTATTAAAACAACAGTCAAATTTTGTGATTATTGAGGTATTTTACGGCCACAGAATCGCAGCTTTTAAAACTACAGAGACTAATTGAATGTATTTACCTGTGCTTTGATGACGCTAAGAGACCTGTTATGCGTCAGCGTTAAGCTCGTTGATTACAAGTCCCTACGAAATATTGACGCTGCTGTTGAAGTGCTTAAGAAATGGAGAAGGATTAAGATAATAAAGATAAAGGAAAGAAAAAAAGAAGAAAATGAAAAGCACAGCAGGTATATGCTTGCTGGGAAAATAAGGACAAGAAAAGAAAGTGAGAAAAAGGACAGAAAGTAGAGAACAAGGAAAAAATGTTACATTTATTACCCAAAATAATAAATAGTCTACCGAATATTATAATGAAACAGTCCTGAACAAGTGACATATACCCCAATGAATGTTTAGAACACTGATATCACAGTCGTCGATTGAAAATATATCCTTTGTTGCCCTGGTAGAACTACTTCATCCGTTACCTGAGACTTAGGACCAATACGTGCCAACCTCTTCTTTTTTTTTTTTTTTTTTTTTTTTTTTTTTTTTTTTTTT